ATAACTCCGTCAACTTATTTGACGGTCGGCTGACGAGGCGCCAAATCATCAGCCACGTCATTGACAACTAAGCAAAAATTGACACGTCATCTTAATAATTTATTTATTATTTAATTTTTTAACACTTTCCCCATTTACCTGATCGCATGAGTCTTCCCTTCTTCCCCATCTCTTTTCAGAAAACGACCACACCTCAAAAACCCAATTCTTTCTGACCTAGATTCAATCTACATGGGTTGGAAGGTTGAACTTGAGCAATACCCAAAAAAAATACAGAGATAAGGGAAGTTGGTTGAGCAACTAATTGGAGGGGTTACTTGTGGAGCTGCAAATTGGGGGATGGAATTTAGATTTTCGGATTGGGTTTTGCTATTTGGGGATGGGGGGATTTGGTTTTGCGGTGGGGGACTTGCCCCTTCTCTCTTTCACTAGTCTCACAAAGCAATTAGGTTTATTGCTCACCTTGCTTCCACCGCCGCTACCTCCGGCTGCTAAGCTGTAGCCTCTCGTACGAGACATATCGCAGTCGAACCCACCGCCGCCGCCGGAGGATTCGACTTTGGAAGCAGCGCACTTGAAGTTGGGATCCAGTAACGTGGTCGACGTAATATCCCGATGTGGAGATGGTGGGCTTGATTCGGGATTGGGCTTGCTCGTCGTCCTGTTCGTCTTCGTTGACAGCGGCGGCGGTGTCGGTCTGGTCCTCCAGGTTGTCGAACTCGTCGATCTTGGCCGGTGCATCGTCGCCCGGAATGCTGTTGTTGTCGTTGCTGGAGTCGGAAATCAGGGGGTTCGCGCGGATAATGGAGGCGGAATTGGCGTCGCTGCGGTGGCGAGGGGAGGTGATTCGGGGGTAGAGACGGTGGCGGTGTCGGCTGATTGGGGGCGAAGAGGAAGAGAGGCGAGAGTAGAGGAGAGAGACGGAGAGGAGGGTAAAATTAGGGATTCTGTTTTTTTTATCCACGTGTAAAATGCAGGCTTGACACGTAAGCCCTTCCGTTTGCCCAGTCACACTTAACGTTAACAGCTTTAAAGAATCGGACAGAAGTGTCTATTAGTGGTATTTCGCCAAATGTGGCTATAAGTGGCACAAAGGTGAAAGTTTTGGCTATGCAAGTGTATTTTGCCAAATTCCAAAGCACATTTAAGCTATCATCATCGACAATAGGCATTGCATAATGAAATAAAACACCATTCTGCCATTCTGGAAGACAGTAAGTGAAACCTGTAATCACACTACTATCTTGTATTGTTTCGTCTCTACGTCGTATTCTCCGAATTAGATTATCACAAAGTTTCTGATAGTTCACCCTGGATGGAATAGTCATCTGAAAACTTACACCACCAAAAAAATGGACACCCAAATTATCCTCTACTTTCTCTTATTTCCACCGAACAGCTAGTTCAAATCTTATAAAACCACTACATAAAAAACAAACTCACTAATTACTAACTGGACAAAATCATTATGATGAATACATTAAAAAAATAAATACGTCTCTTACCTATTATTAGCCATCTTCCCAGCAACCAGACAGCAACACGAGAGCTTCTTTCGGAACTTCTTTCAGTTTTTTGGTGGTGAAGAACCGAAGGAAAGATGCAGTATATATGGTGATGGGTGGTTCTGGAGTGGAAGAAAAAGGCAGCGACAAAGCTCCAGTCTGAGGCGTTGCCGCTTTTACTTGTTTTTAAGCGACAAAGCCCCAGTCTGGGGCGCCGCCGCTTTCACTTGTTTTAAAGGCCAAACACCCAAGTCTCGGGCGCCGCCGCTGGATTTTATTGAAAAAATAGCACCTAGCAGCCGCGCCTGAATCTAAGGCTTTAACGCTTTAAACATACCAAAAAACACAATATTCTTGTAAATAGTTTTTAAACCACTATATTCGTGGTAAATAAATAAAAACAATATTTAGGGAATTAACCCTCAATCGCACTGAGAGCTCTCACCCCAACACATGTCATTCTCAAAGTAATATTAAAACAACTAGCTTATTACCCGGCCCGTTGGCCGGATTACTGTATGTTAACCACTTGTGGAATGGGAGAGAAAGCAAGTGAGAGTGAAGGGATTGGGATTCCACTTGATTAGGACTGACTCACTAATCCGATTCTTTCCGACCCGCCCCAACCTAAAGGGTCAGAAAGAGTCAATAAGAAAATACGAACGAAGAGGATTAGTCATATATATTGACTCTTCAGAAGTGGGTCACACAGGATCAAGGTTGGGTGAGGGCAATTTTTAGCGCTAAGCAGAGTTCTGGGTTGAATAACTTTACTTAGGCCTAGAAATTGGTGCTGATGCAGACTGCAGTTTTTATTATATCATCATCATTCATCATTGAATTAGTCTTGGGCATCCCTCCCCGTTGTCGGTCTGAATTCTAATGATGGCTTCATTCCTTGCACCAGCCATATCAGCGAGTTGTCATCTCGAGCATGATTTGTCAATGTACAAATGATACAATTAGAGTATGAAACTGAATTCAAAGAAAAGGAAAAGAGAATTCTATCACATGCCAATAAATACACACATAATAGTTGAAGCTAAGTGAAAGTCATTACTCGCACATCAATTCTCAAAAATTACAGACTAAACAATGGCTAGAATGACATTGAAACTACCAAGAATCATGGACGAAACAACTTGTCAAATTAAATAATCCTTATACTGAAACTACATTCTAACTTGAAATAAGACATGATCACCGTTCATAGCACTCTTATCACTATGAATTGGTTGCAGGCTTGCAGCTCGTCCTTATCACTGCCTCCCAAGCTCAATTCAAACAGAATAGAGACCGTTATGAAAGATAACCGTATCCTTACTGATCATAATTCCTTTCTTCACTCCATTTTTGTCGGAGAAAAGAGTTATCCCCCTCTCCTGCATTTCCCTTTCCCCCTCTCTTCTCCCTCTTCTTCACAAACCGATCCCTAAACCAGCAACAACAACACAAAAATAGCCTTCGCCTCTGCCATCTCCATCTACTGAACGCGTTGGTGGCAAGACAGGACTGCAGAAGTAAAATTTTCTAAAATCAAATTAAATTTTTTGAAGGAGACTCAACCACGAAAAAAGAGTAAGGCAAAAATGCTAATAGTTCAGATGGTTGGTTTTGATGTTATACGTTGCTTTTGTTATGGTCTCCAGTATATCAACTGCAACAGAGATGTTTCCTCCAATCATCTTTAGTGCACGATTTAGAAGTAAGTCCTCTTGTTTGTGTCAAACAGAAACATTCATGGGTTCTTAACTCCCCTGTTAGTGTAAATGCAGCAGCAGCAGCAAAGAAGTTTGACAACACAGCAAGCACCCAGGCAAAATGATAAAATGCAGTAGGTGATATGTGTCTCGAAGGTTTTGAGTTACTAAAGTTCATGTTAAAAATAAACATGAATTAAAATGGATTATTCTATTAAGCAAACATCCCCTCTAATGATACAAAGATCAGATATCCAATTCACAAACATTTAAGCCATAAAAAATCATCACACATCCACCACATTTGATTGCCTAAATTTGGTTTTTCGCAAAATTATGGACTCTTAAGGGTAACGTTCATGGGTAGTCTGTTTCATAACTCTAGAGAGCACAGTAAGCAGCCACCAGCCAGACACAGTGCGGTAGGCGAATATGATTCTCAATTCACAATTTCTCACCACCGGAAGTAAGAACAGACCATAATAAGCGTAGCGTTCATGGGTGGTCTGTTTCATAGCACTACTACACAATTTGTTAAAAAGGAAAGAAAGGTATTTAGCATCACGGCGGAACAACTTTTACAGGCATGCTGCAACCACCAGAACTGGTATCACAACTCATAGGGAAAATCAAAAGATTTACTCTCAAATTAAGTAGTTACAACATCGAGCAATCGTCAAGCACATACACCATCACAAAAGTCACTGACCTGATTCACAAAGCATTCAAACATTTGAGGACATTTCTGCAAAGGTGCAACTTATATGTCTTTTTTCCAAGCCATTTCCATCAACATGCTAATAAATTTGCAATGCATAAAACAAACGGGCCAAAACTTGAAATTCAGCCTGTTTGACCGACCCATGCCAAATTCTAATTATTCTTTACTTTTAAACTTTCTATTTGAAAATAAAAAATAGTGAAAGAAAATAGACGACTACAATTCGCCATTTGCACATCACTTATTCGGGAATAAAACCATAGAAATTCAAAAGGAACTGAAAATGTTTAGGATCGTTTTAATGTTTACAATAACCAAATAGATCTTTATATTTAGTTTTTTTACTAACAAATACCAAACGATTCCCTATAAAATACACCATAATTTGATCATTATGATGTCAAATAATTATAAAATATCTATTTGAAATGATAAAAATTGGACTAATTGGGTTGGTCGAGGTTGAACCATTGAATAACTTTAAAATACATTATATATTAGCCACTAAGATATAAAATAATAGCATAATATATATTATGCCAGAGAAAATAGTTTGTTTTAGAATGGCAAACCAATGATGTTCATTTGTTTTACTTGATGGCCAAATCTCATGTAGGTCAGGCTCATTCAACTCTTTTATTTTATAGTTAGCGGTTAGCCCATTAGATACCATGCATTAGTTTATTGTTAAATTTTTTATTTTTAACAATAAAAAGGAGTATTAATTTTGCCTTTTCATATATATTTTATCACCACGGAGAAATAAAAGGGTATAAAGAAAAAAATTGACACTCCTGGACCCGTTTAAATCCGCATGTGTACGGTAAGTTGGCCCGTTCCACAGAGGAAAGAGAAAAAAATTGACACTCCCTATTCTACCCTTCATGCAAACGCTCCTGGAGCAGAGAATTTGAAATGGGGGAAGAGTTTTTTCTACCCTGCTATTATATGTTTTTAATTTAAAAGGATACAACAAATGTATTTAGTGTGATTGGTTATGATCCTTGTTTTTCTTTAAAATGGTCATGGTTCGAATCCCAGTACGTATCTTTTTAATGAATAAAAAAAATAACTGTGAAGACCAAAATGTCCTTCCTACTTTCACTCTCGTTGCAGGAAATTTGAAATGGGGCTCCCGTTTTTCCCTTCGGTGTATTATATTACTAGCATTGGGCCCGGCCCGTTGGCCGGTGTGCTATAGACCCAGTACGTGAATTTTATTTTGTTCTATTGATAATGAAATACAATCAAAATCAATGACATTATACAACAACCAAACTCGCAGTCCCAACTCCCAATTACATAATGAAATACAATCAAAATCAATGATATGATACGGCAAGCAAGCTCGAAGTCCCAATTACATAATGAATACAATAATATATAGAAACTTTCAAAATGCACATCTCAGCAAACATATAATGTATGATTAAATTGCAATGGTTATTTTATTCATCCTTTAATAAAAGACCAAGTTTTCAAGTTGCTTCTCTAATGTTGAGACCAATAGTGGATTTAGCTGCTGCTATTAGATGAATAAAGTTATTGAGGTCTATCCCTTCAATTCTCTATTCACGTCATGCAATATCACATCTTCCCTCCCAGCTAAGAAGCTAAGTCAAAATAAAATGCAAGTGAAACTTCAATCGAGAAATGCCATATATTCAGCAAAGAAATAAACAATACAGAAATCGGGAAGGAATAGAAGCAAACAATTGAATATGAGTGTGGTCAATTATCTTTAAGCTAAAAAGCTCAATTGAGACCAAAAACACCAAGACTAACCAATTCCCATAAGCAAAGCAAAGAATCACATCAGCACTACAAAATTTCAAACTAACAATTTGCAGAGATTAACTAAAACTATCCACACCTACCTTCTCTTCCAAATCTGTTGCTGCTGCAACTGTTGCAGCTGCTATGGCTTCTTTTTCATGGATGTTCAATGACCCGCAAACTCACTAACCCATCTAAAGTATAAACCAACCAATAAACTCGTAAATCTATTTAAAGGCAACTCATGAATCCACCAAAGCAAGAACCCAACTCACGAACCTAATCCATTTGCCTAGCACATTAGGAACACATAGCTTCCAGAAGGATTGAAAGAAGAGGAGGAAAACAATTGCAGGTCAAAAGGATGGCATTTTACCCCCTGCAAAAATTTCTGACTGTTTAAGTAATCACCCCAACTTAGAGTAAAAACCTTTTTCTTGAGTGCGTGTAAAGCGATGAAACCTGCCATGTAACAGAAAATAAGCCAGAGGTTTGTTATATGGAGAATTCCCTGCCTCCTTAAAGTCGAAATCCACAAAAAGTCCTAAACTGACACAAACTTGAGCTGTTGGTGTAAATAACACAGATAAATTGAAGCGGATGACATGATAAACACACTGGCACTAAGCTGCTGCTATCATAAACACAAAAATCCATGCTATTTTCAACTTCAAATTGTCTTTAGAGTGATGAAAAGTCCAAAACTAATTGAACTCCAAAACTATGTAAACTCTCCTCTTCAATTTGACTATCGATTTGATAGTATTGAAAGAACCTTTGGAGCACAAGTAGCACAAACTTCAGTGGGTTATTTATACACTCATGTATCAATTGGAACAGAGTAGTGAAATTGTGGGAAAACAAACAATTAAGTAAGCTTTGGTATAATAGACGTAAGAGTTACCAAAATTTGAAGGGGAGAATGAGGCTTGGTGGGAATTACGGAACCCGCTTCTTCTTCCCCATCAAACCCCGACCCACAGTTTCTTGATGGTTTGCTACTCCCTTTGAAACGAACATAGAAATCTGCAAATCAGATTAGAAAGGGAGTGAGATTTAATTACTTTGGGAGCGGTGTTGAGGGTCAGGCGTGGATAGCGGTACCTCCGGTGGCAAGGGCTGCCGTGAGCTTTCCGGGAGTGCGGGAGACAGCCGATCGAAGAGTGAGAAGGGGTATGAGCGAGAACAATGGTTTGCTTGCTCGACGGCGAGGTTTGAAACGGGACTTTCGAGGGCAACGCTTGGGGGAGAAGAATTGCAAGATTAGCGGTGATATGTCCGGGCTGGAAGACAGAAAGAGAGAAGAGAAGAGTTGTGGAAGACAGGGCAGATCCTCGGCAGTGAGCGACGGCGGTGGCGTGGGAGAGGTTCGCTTCCTGGTAAGAGATTGGAAGACCGAGAGCGATGAAGAGATAGATTCGGGATTTACACAAAAGCCCCTCCGAATTGTGCGGCCGTTTCAGGAGAGGCTGACGTGGCAAATGCTGTTTTTTGACATTGCCTTATAGTATTTTGTAGATAGATGTGTAGAGATACCAATATTAATCCCGACTAATACATACTTTTACGATATACGTATTATCGTGTTTGCTTGACAGACATTTTGACAGTTTTCGTCATCCAACTATCTGTATTGCGTCTCAATACGGTACGGTACCACAAGTAGAGCAAAAAGGGTATGTTTAAACTTCACTTCAAAATTAAGAGGAATCCAATACAAGTCAACAGCTGAATGTGATTTCTCACCATGAAGTGAATCCACCTCACCCTATACTCATATGGTTCAATATCCTACTATACAGAAAATCTAACCCGAAATGGGGCTTGTCCTGTTCATTCCAAATAGACCAGAGGAATGAATGAAGTAGAGTACAGGGTTGGGTGGCCCCAGATACAACACGAGAATTGGATTTACCAGAAAACAAATACACAAACAGACTTACATTCATCCCACCACAAAACCAAGCTTCTCTGTTATAGGATATTATGGTTCTACACATTCAGTTCCCTCGACACAATTTGCAGCCCACTATAACAGGATTTGGCTTAAAATTTCTGCATTACAACTGAATTTGCAAGGCCGGCCTGCTCTATTGTCTGAGTTGGATCGCTAAGAAGCTTAGGAGGGAATCCCATCATCTGTAGCTGATAATTCTGTGCTCCCCCAGGCCTAGATGCGTCAATAAACGCTCGTAGGTCATTCACAGTGTGATGGTAATTGAAGTTGGCAATCATGCGGGTTCCATCAGCCATTCTAAGCTGGACTGAAGTGGAAGGTAATGTCTCATCTACAACCACGCCCCTTGAGGGGGTTGGAACAACATTGAGATGGGTAGAAGAACCAATCACAGGTTCCGTCGCCACTGGGGTTGCTGCGCTCCCACCTAAAGTTCTGCCTACACCTTGAAATGCAACATGCGGCTGCTTCTCTGGTTCCTGCAAGCAAAAGAAAAAGACAGGTGAAGGGGAAACTTAGAACAGGTATGTGCAAGTGTTTAGAATGCAACACAAAGCTGGAGTGAAGTTTTCAACACCCTCAGCTGCAACAGAAAGAAACAGCTTTCTGCTAAAAAAACACATTTTGTTTCCTAAGTTCTTAACAAGATCTATTATACTGTGGAAGTCAGAATATGAACCTAACACCCTTAATAGAATAACTAAGTCAGCATCATTTGTATATCTCTCAGGAAGCATTTTGCTAAAAGTAGAAAGTGAAACCACAAGGAAGAAAGAGGAAAAGGACAGATAGGTAATTACCGGACACTTCTCATCCCTTTTAATCAGATTTACATGAACAGAGGACCTCCTATCTGCTGGCTCAAGCTCCTTTGGACACTCAGATTTGGTAATGCTCTGCAATAGATGGAAAGTCAGTAAAACTAGCAAAAGATTCATACATCACAATCTTGATAGTCAAACAAAAGTTCATAAAGACTATGTATCAAAATCTCACATCAAATGCATAGAACCAAATTTCCTATATTCACAAGGCTCTTTTAGCATTTCTTATATTTCCAGGCTCCTTTTAACATTTATAGATCAACATAGCATATTTCCCTAGCTATAATCATGCAAACATTACACCCGCCAATTCCCTGGCAGTCCCAAATAAGAATCTGGATATCTCAAGTGTACGGATCTCAGAACTACCAAATACGAAGTCACTAACCCAACAGATAGATAAAACACCATGGTTACTTGGAGAAAGATTATTCACATCGCTAGATCTCACAGAGGCCTACATTATAGTACCTCCAAGAAAGGTGCATTTTCGGGATCATCCAACCTCCGTAGAGGGCCATCATTCACAGTAAATCCATTGCTCCAGAAGATGATGTTATGAACAACAGCCTCAGGCTGCTGTGGAGTCAATTGCACAACTTCCCCAGAAAGTAATCTACCAGTTCCAGCAAAGCTCGTTGAGCTAGAGCCGGGGCGGAGATGATCGACAGGCCCTTCTACCGCTCCCAACTGCCGAGCTTGATTGAAGATTGAATCTACATCATTAACTTTCTGGGGATCTTGGACAAGCATGCCACTGAGATAATAACGAAATAAAATGTGTAAGTAACTTTTGAGTTCTCGCTTAGTCGCTTGTATACCCAATCAAATAACTTCATAAGAAAGAGAACAAGAACCAGCCTATTCTATTGTAGGCAACCCAAAGCACCACCGCAAGCTCAATTTGCTAGTTATACACCATGATTAATGGGGTCTCAGGCAAAGTCGTAACTTCTCCATAAGAAGCCAAAATACAAATTGAGTGGTAGATTATACTGCACTCAGCGACTAAAAATCACCCAATTGGATCTCCTCCCTTTTCTCCTTCCATTTCTTCTTAATACCCAACCAAACAGCCAAGGCCTAAGACCACCTTCAAAGGTGCATTGAATAGCCATTTGGATCACCGGAAATGAAAATTTTAACGAAAACTAAGCAAGTGAATCCAGGGGAAGGCCACGCGCATAAGAATAAAGGAGAATAGTTAGGGTTTGGGAAGAGACCTCTTCTCGCCACCGGTGTAGTACTCCTGAGGACCTTCTTCATCGCTATCGGAGTCGGGACCCGACCGTCGATTGAGATCGGACAGCGTGCGGATGCCGCCGGCTCTGCTGGTGGACGGTTTCGCCGGTTTCTTGTCCCGTGATGACATTTCTTCCGGTTGTTCTTTGATCGAAGAATCCCTATCGGGGCAGAAGCAAAGCAAGAAATACCTGCAGTCGGTTGGATTTATCCGCGGCAACGATCAACGCAGTTTTTGACATCCAACTAAGAGCGCGTGAATTGTACGCAGTGTTCCCTCCGCTTATCACGCTAATTTTGAGGTCAATTTTGCAAATGGTCATTAATGTTTGAGTAATTGAGTCATTAACAAAGTTTCAAGAACCTTGATATAACAACTTTGACACTGAAGTTTAGAATATTTTTTTTCGTTCAATGAAGTTTAGAATATTTACACTCCGCTCTCTGTCAAAATTTTCAACCAGATCATCTTATTTCCAAATTAATAATAGATAATCAATTATAAACACTCTGAATTTTTTTTGTTATTTAGAGGTGACGGCAAGCGTCTAGAGTACGAAGCCAGGGATCATAAGAAAAAGTGTCTCGAAAGCAGCAGACTAATGCCCAATAGAAAATAGGGGATAAGACTCGCGTAAAAGCGCTAAGGCGACAAACTCTGCTCCCAAAAAATCATCTGGCAGGGGAAGCTGAAGCTCCACATGTCATCCAGAAGAATTATTTGCAGCTCATGAAGGGGTTCTGCCAATTCATATCACCCTTAAGGGATAGAAGAAATTGTGCTTCGAGATCCTCTTCATCACTATAATCCCCTTGTGGTAAGTATGTTTCGGGCAAATCATCCTTTCTAGTGCTAGTTTCCGATGTATCTCACCAAGAATGGTTGAAAATGAGTGAATTGGGTCTGTACGATTGTTGATTAGATCAATAGCAAGTTTAGAATATGTTTCTACCTCCAGGAAGTCGATGTCATGTCTTAACCTTGAGAGATGGCCAAAATTTCGGAGGTAATGGTGGTTCCAGATCCTATCTATATTGTTCCTAAAAGGAGAGCATTGAACCTTTATGTAGGATTGTGAGATTTAAGATTTAGTTTCAAACTATCTATGGTTCGTGAGGGAATTTCAGTGAGTTTTTATACTTTATCTTTCTTGACAATCAACTAACCAATAACATTTTACCGGATACTTAATTATCATTATGAGAATGAGATCAATGATATGTTTTTATATTTCTTCAAATGTTCGATGTATATAATCTTTCTTTATGTATCATCTCGATCGAAAGATTGTCAATAAAATTAAACGGGTTGATAGACTTAAATGTAACATGAAAATATAAATAATCAAATATGAATATTTCGGCCAACGGGCCGGGTTATAAGCTAGTAGCATAGGATTTTAAAGTCCATGGATTTTATAGCAAGGTCAGGATCGAAACATGTAAGTAACATCATAAAATCATAAGATTTTAATATTTAAATTCAAATTTTGACTACTATGGTCGTAACAAATGTCAAGTCTAGTAGGCAACGATAGGGACCCTGCGGAAGTCGATGTTGTTTGATCGATTGAGAATCGATCATGTGCGCAATATCGTGTCCATTCTAATCCTACGCACGGAGTCGGGTTTGCGAATATGACCTTTGAAGTCAGTCATCATGTTAAGCATGCAATCAAATCTACAACGATCGAACATAAGAACAAAGCAGAAACAATAAGAATTAAATCATCGTATATATGCCAAAATTGATCGTTATATAGTCTAGAACCTCTAGGGTTTGTTCTCCATCACCGTTTCCCAAGGTCGCTACCACAAGTTTTGTATCGGGATCGAGTTTCATCCTCTTTAGTGTTTTTTTTCTTTTTGTTGAGCATGATCACAATTGAACCCAAATATATGGGTATCCTAACTTGAACACAAATCATCGCATTTGCCCACCATTCTGAAGCTCATCTCGAAATACTGTCGGCGGATTCCTAAGTTGTTTCCCACCATCGTTTCCCAAAGTCGCTACCACGAGTTTTGTATCGAGACCGAGTTTCATCACCTTTAGTATTTTTTTTCTCTTTTTTTCCTTTTTGTTGAGTATGATACTATGATCACAATTTAACTCAATGCCGCTACCGAAAATCCATACCATATCTACTCAATGTTGGCGAGTTTTGTATCGGGACCAAGTTATTATTATTATTATATAAAAGTCCAACATGTGAGTTACTATTCATTAGTGGCTCTCACACTCCTCCAAGTGCAAGTGGGGAAGTTCCAAGCTCTTTTTTTACCCTACTCTCCATTCTACAACCTTTGTGTTTACTTATTGTTCGCTAGATTTTCTTCTATGGTTTTTTGCACAAATAATCGCCTTTGTGTTTTGTTATTGTTTGCTAGGTTTTCGTCTATGACTTTTTGCACAAATCATCGCCTTTGCCCACCATTTTGCAGCCCATCTCGAAATACTGTCGGCAGAATTATTATATAAAAGTCCAACATGTGAGTTACTATTCATTAGTGGCTCTCACACTCCTCCAAGTGCAAGTGGGGAAGTTCCAAGCTCTTTTTTTACCCTACTCTCCATTCTACAACCTTTGTGTTTACTTATTGTTCGCTAGATTTTCTTCTATGGTTTTTGCACAAATAATCGCCTTTGTGTTTTGTTATTGTTTGCTAGGTTTTCGTCTATGACTTTTTGCACAAATCATCGCATTTGCCCACCATTTTGCAGCCCATCTCGAAATACTGTCGGCGGAATCCTAAGTTGTTCCCCACCATCATTTTTCAAAGCCGCTACCATGAGTTTTGTATTGGGACCGAGTTTCATCCTCTTTAGTGTTTTTTCTTTCTCTTTTTTCTTTTTGTTGAGCATGATCACAATTTAACCCAATGGCGGTATCGAAAATCCATACCATATCTACTCAATGTTGGCGAGTTTTGTATCGGGACTGAGTTTCGTTCACTTTAGTGTTTTTTTCTTTCAGTTTTTCCTTTTTGTTGGGGTCATGAGCGAGTTTTATCCGCTTTAGTATTTTTTTTATCCTTTTCCTTTTGGTTGAGAATGACAATTGAGTCTAAAGGCATGGGTATACAACCTAATTTGACCCGACCAAAGCGATTTGAACCCGATTTTACAGGTTTTCGATAGGAGCGAGTTTTATCTATTTTTTGTAATTGGCGTGTTGTATCAGGTGTAAACTTGTCCAAAACTCGGTCCAACTAGGTCAAAGCGAGTTGAACCTGGTGTTGACGAGTTTTGAGTCAGTAGCGAGTTTTAGCTTTAGTGTTTTTCATTTTGCTTTTTCCTTTTGTTTGAGAAATACAATTGAACCCAAATCCATGGGTATCAAACCTAATTTGAAAAGATTCAGAGAAGCTGCTTCATTCTGCAAAAGTTATAGCAGGATCAACTACTAGTCATACAAATTGAAACATTGGTGTCATGAAATAATTTTAATCTATTTGACGACACTTCTACCTTATGCAAGTTCATCGACCATATGCTATTGTAAATAACAAACCTATGAAAAGAATAATTAAGAATGAAATAAGAGATTACATTCACTTTTGGGTCAACATTAAAACTATTACTTTTTAAAATATTTATTTTTCTGATACACAGAGAATGATAACGAGCGGACTTTTGCTAATCTTAATTATTTTGCGCATTACATGTTAAATATCTTTGCTCTGTCCACCCACACATCTATATCTATCTATCTATCTATCTATCTATATCTATATCTATATCTATCTATCTATCTATCTATCTATCTATCTATCTATATCTATACTATATATTATGGCAATTCAAAAGCAATCTCTTGCCACATAAGCACTTGGAGGATCCACAATTTGCCAAGTTGGACAATTATTTTACAAACAAAAAAATTTAGTTAACAATGTACTTATATAGCTACCTCTCTCTTCTTTAACATTTTCATTACTTTTATCCAATTATTCTTTTTTATTTATCTATTCTTTTTGGCTTTAATGATAAGTTACATGTTGATAAACTTAACCAAACACACATAAATAATAATTTTTTTGTCAAGTAAAAAAAATATAAATAAGAAAACAGAGAGTGACATATATTACATTTGCTTAAATAAAAATATATGATTAAACCTTATGAAGTAAATTTTGTACTCATTTTTACTAAAGTTAAATGATAAGTTACATTTTGATGAAAAATTAAACAGACATACACATAAACAAAATAATATTTTTAACGATTAAACAAAATATATACGAAAAGAGAGAAAATAAATATTTGACATTCAATTACCTTTGAAAAATAAACTATATTACTTTATATTTTGTTGCAATGAAACACTCTTTTATTCGTAAAGTATTTGTCTATAAAATAAAAAAAGTATTATTGAGCCAAAATGTCATAGTATAATCTTGATCGAGTAGTTACAGTTATTTATTTAAAAAAGACTTCTTATTCGTGAAGATAATGTTCTACACTAAACTTCTCAAATGAAGAGGAATCGCAGGTGCAATAATTTTATAATGTGTCATATGTTTACAGTAATAATATTTGCTCTATATCAGGTTGATTGAGCAAGCTCTATTGAGGTCCTAAGTCGTATGCTAAGAAATTTTCTTTCAGACTTAGAGTTATCGTCGACAATTATAAATCAAAATGTTCAAAATGACTTAAGTATGATTGTTGAGGAACTTTGACTTCAAACCCTAAGCTAAGACACACGATTCCTTGAAAAATAAAATATATGCGAAGGTTAGAGAAATCTTTGTTAAGAATCTACGATAAACATCACGTTTTATCAACTACTAACCTAGACATTTACCAAATAAAGGTTGACAGTTTTTAGTAAGATAGCCAATTGGGATAAACATATTTATCCAATAATCTCAACTTCTCACTAATCTTTACAACATTGGTCGAGAGTTCGTCCAAAATCTAGGATCATGAATGTGTATTGGATTCCAAAGGACCTAAAATCCCAATCCCTTTCGGGTGCTAAATGCCTCTGATCACAACCATAGGTGCCAAAGAAGAATGAAAGAAGCCCAAAAATAGCAAAAAAGAACATAACCTCCGTTACGACGAACAGAATAACACCATATCATCAAACTATGATGTCATTCCTACCATTTTATTCTCCATAAAGAGGGCGGCGGGAGAGGATAAGATATAAATAGCAGGATCTTAGGAGTTGCCTCTTTATATATGACATATAGAATGATAGACAACCCCAATGGTTGTCTGATGTTATGTGGGCAAAAGAGGGATCTCTATCCCGGGGGTGGGGGTAGGCAAGTAGTACTTTTAATATGAGTATATTATGCGAGATAAGATAGGTCTGACGAAGTATCTTAATAATTTTGATCTACTACACACACACACACAAATATATATAATATCAAGGTATACTATGCTTTTGATTTTCCGCAAGATAAGATAGAAGATAGGTATGACGAAGTATGTGGATAAATGAGAGGTTAGAGAATTAGGGATTGGAGTTCACATATTAGAGGTTAGGGTATAATATCATGCCCCAATAAACTCATGTTAATTCGAGGTTTAAATAGTAAAACTCAATGGTCGTATGGTAGTGTGAATGCAAGAGTATAGCGTACTCTTGGCCCACGCTCGGTTGAACTAAGTGTGTGTGTGTGTGTGTGTGGTGTATTCGGTGCACGCACTTTTTTGGGTGCATTCAATGCATTCGCCTCATAATCGTCATTTCGAGCATGTGATTCATGTCAAAATGGTATCAATCATCGCTTATGGTATTATGAACAAGAAACGCATGAATTTGCAAAAAAACATTAAAGATTGTCTTAAATTTGAAGGATTTAGGATTTAGAAATTTAGGGTTAGGTTTAGGGTTTATAATTTGGGATATTGGGTTTGTTTTCAAAATTGAAGGTTTAGGGGTTAGAGTAATGGATTGATTAGTTTTGACCACGTGTTATATCATCATATCATACTAATGTTACCAATTAAAATCCAAAATTTGATGTCTTCAGGCTACTTTTTGAGATGAGACGTGACAAGGCATAATTTATGATTAGAAAACCGAAGCATCACAAGTGAGTGTGCTAAATATTGGAAATTTTCAATATAGACATACTACAAACTCTGTTATGAATCAAGAACACAAAATATTAGAAGATCCAAATGATTTAAACATATAAATTATAAAATAAATCTCTCCGGCCAACGGGCTGGGTAAAAAGCTAGTTCAATACACTTGTCATCCTGATTATGGAGTGCATTAGCAGCGTAATCACGCTGGGAAGAGGAAGCAGTGCACAACCATTATAGGAAGAGGAAGCAGCGTAACCATCCCATTTTGGGAATTGCAATGGTCATCCTCGCTCGCTCCCATCAAAACGCCTCCCTAATTCCGACCTTCCTCTTCAGTCTTCCCCTGCCTTATAAATACGCTTTCCCCTGTCATTCTCAGTCACAGCAAACCCCAACAAATGGCGACCCGGAAAGTCACCCTGAAGCTCCTAATCAACAAGAAAACCAAGAAGGTACTCTTCGCCGAAGCCGGCAAAGACTTCGTCGATTTCCTCTTCACCCTCCTCTCCTTCCCGCTAGGAACCGTGATTAAGCTCCTGTCCAAGAACAAAATGGTGGGTTGCTTGGGGAATCTGTACGAGAGCATCGAAGAGCTCAGCGACACATTCTTCCAGCCCAACCTGGGCAAGGCCACGGTTCTGAACCCGAAACTCCCCTCCCGTCCAAGCGGCAGCACCCTTTTGTTGTCCGACGGCGGCGAAAATGATGGAACGGGAGCAACCAGGAAGTTCTACGTGTGCGAGAATAATGGTTACCATAGGAATGTGACTGATAACCCGCTGGCTATTTGTTCTCAGTGCAACTGTAGGATGAGAACCCAGGTTTCCTTCATCACTGCCCCTTCTGCTGCTGGGAATGATGGAGCAGGGGATGTGAACAGTCAAGAAGGTGGGTTTGTGAAGGGAGTCATAACTTACATGGTGATGGACAATCTGGAGGTTAAGCCGATGTCTACAATCACCAGCATTACTATGTTGAACAAGTTCAACATTCAGGAAGTTGGTGCCCTTGAGGAGAAGGTCATTGAGCTTGGAGTGGACGAGGTAGCCCATCTCTCGGTTTTTTGGACAGAGGTACGTAGTTAATTAAACCCGTATTCTGATTCTTCTGTTTGTTGTTTTTAGGGGCTGGATCTGCTTAAGGCCTCTTTGCAGTCCCAGACAGTTCTGACAAGTGTTTTCCTTGGAGCATGAAGTGGTGGCCGGTTCAGGGATTAGTTCATCTTCTCCAATATTGTTGCAATGCTGGAAATGGGTTTCAATTTGGGTTTGGTTTCGCGAGTGATTCTAGTATTCAGTCTTGTTACATTTTAGTTGAGAGTGCGCCTTGTTCCACTTCAAGGCTAGCTATGTCATGATTTGAATGAATGTTGTCTAATTTTGCTTCTATGATTTGGTTCCTGCAAATATAAAATCATTGGCATCAACAGGGCATATGATCCCATGGTATTTTATAGGCTCTGGTTTTGGAGCTTCATATTCGAATTTGCTTAAATATCACCTAATTATAAAAGTAAATCCATATCATCCTTATAAACAAGAAATAACGTATGAATACAAGCTGTTCATACAGATCAGATGAACAAATTTAAAATTACATAAATCAAATCATAAGTATAAATTACCGTGAGTAAGGTAACGGAATCAGGTTGAAACTAGAAAGGCTTGTACGCCCTTCACATAGATAAAACATATGTAAAAGAAACACACATATATTTTACAATCTACTTGTGCTAGTGCTACTACACATTACACTTAGGGCATGTTTACTTTCATTTTTGTTTCCTGTTTTTTAAGAAAACAGACGTTGAAAACAAGTGAAAACAACATTATTTTCGTTTCCGAAAACAACAAGAAGTTGCTGTTTTCATAGTTGGAAACGAATAGAAAACGAAATGAAGAGTAAACAAGTTTTCTCGTTTCGGTTGCCAAATCTATGGCATGAAAAATAGGAAACAAAAAATGAAAATGAACATGCCATTAATTATTTTAACATTTGTGAAACAAAAGAAACAACCAAAGCACCCACCCACTCAAAGCTGAAAGCACCCACGGACTTTGAGTGGAAAAGACGTCTGAAATATTTGTAGCTGCACCCTCACAGGCTCAACAAAACATCTTTCATCACCTCTCTACTCCTACACAAGGCCTCCAACGGCTCCAACTTAGGCATAGTCAGCCCGTGACCTTCCGACATGTCCAGCAACTCCTCACCAATCCTCTCCCACTCAAAGCACTGAATCAAAGCACCCACGGCCACGCTCACCGCCCGGCTCGCCAGCCCCGAGCCAGGGCACGACCTTCTTCCCATGCCATACGACAACAATTTATAACCATCCACCCCGCCCGCTCCTCCTCCTCCTCCTCCGTGTCTCTCGGGCCGAAACCTCGTCGGGTCTTTCCATATCGCGGCGTCTCTATGAATAGCCCATGCATTGATCAGCAACATGGTTCCCTTGGCAATGGAGTAGCCGCCGACGGTGCAGTCCTCCGACGATTGGTGCGGCATTAGGGTTGGTGCCGGTGGATACAAGCGGAATGTCTCCTTGATGATGAGTTGTAGGTACGGCAAGTTGGGGCAGTCGGACTCTTCTACGATTCGGCTGTTGCCGACGACGTTGTCGATCTCGGTTCTGGCTTTGCTGAGGATTTCTGGGTGGTTGAGTAAAGCTGCCATCACCCATTCGATTAAGGTCGCCGTGGTGTCTGTTCCGGCGAGTATAACTATCTACAGAGAGAGGAAGATTATAAAAATAAGTAAGTATGTAATAACTACGTTTCTTTTAGGAGATAATATGAGCGTTTCTACTATGCTTTAAAGTATTGGTGCTTTAAAGTACAACTTTATGTTGTACCATAATGTTAAAGGTACAAGTTAGAGTTGTACTGTTAGGAAATTTGATATTTTTGTTGTGGTACAACTTCAAGTCTTCAAGTTCTACAACTTTAATTTGTACCATAAAATGAGTTTACAAAAGAGTATATGTACAACCTAAAGTTCTACTATAACGTTAAAGGTACAACTTCAAGTTGTACTATAAAAGCAAAAACTAAAGTACCAATGCTTAAAGCATTGTAAAATTCCTCTGATAATATATCATTTATGTGAATGAAATTTCAATACGATTCCAGCTAAAGGCTAAAGTCGAGTGCCAAAATCAAAATATAACACCTAGTAATCAATGAACTACGTACTAAATAAAAAGCGTATAACTCTAAAATGAATATTATGCTTAAATAAATTCTTAGTATCTTAAATTTTTATAAAACCTTCTTCTGATTACAGCATGCTGCATGCATTAAAAAACATTTGTAAATGGATAAACGTAAAGATATACTCCAATTTGTAGTTTATGTATAGAACCTATATATCATTTATTAATATCACAAATTTACTTGTATACATATTATTTCTAGGGTAGCAATGGATCAAGTCTGCAGCGGATTGTGAGTATCTATTACTATACCCAAAATAGTTTGGATTTTATCCACACTCAGCATACCAGCAAGAATCGGGTACAAAATAAATAATAAAAACATGTCTATTTCTGATCGAATTTAGAGTGTTAATGGTTATAATCTATGGATAATTTCTCTTTATAACTGCAATCAACATATTAGCATTCACACGTATACGAACATTTAATAAGAGAAAAATACAATAATAAATCACTAAAATGAAGAAAATTAGTAAAAAAACAACACAATTTCATAAAAATATTATATACATAGACTAAATATCAGATATGTTAAGAAAAATTATGACCATTTATAGACAAATTACATATGCATTCATATAATTAGACGGGTTCGGGTTGGATTGTGAGAAAATCATGTCCAACCACTACCTGCAATATTCTGATTCTAATTCGAGTTTTACTCATAACCATTAAAAAAAATCCAAATTCAAATTTTACTCTAGTCGATTGGTCTGGTTCGGGCAGGTATTCGTTTTTATCCCAGTCACTCTTATAAATTATATAATGAAATCAATCTATTCTTTCACACAGGATACTACGTGGCATGATTATCATCAGCATTAGCTTACCATAGCCTGGCCTTTGATGACATCATCGGTATACGTTTCAGGTTCAGATTCCTGCAAAGACAACATAGCATCAATCATCGTCGTCTTCCTCCCACCGCCGCCCTCCTCCCTCGGCTTATTACTCCGATGCTCCTCAATCAAACGCTGGAAGAAAGCATCGCTCTTCCCCTGAGCCCGCCACATCCTCCTCTCCAGCCCTCCATAACCAATCCACCTCAGCACCGGCAAGAAATCCCCCGGATTCGACGTGGCACTCAGCTCCAGCACCTCACCTATCAGTTCCTTAAACCTCTCCCCTTCCTCCGTCGATGACTCATCATCGAAATACCTCTTCCCGGCGACCATCCTCATCACCATGTTCATCACCAGCCCCACCAACCTCGACCTCATCGCCACCTTGGTAAAACCCGACCAGACCTCGCCAGTGGCGGAGTCAGGTTCTGTCACGGGACACATGTAAGTTTTATTAAAACGATAAAATCGCAATGTATAAATATGGAAAGAAATTGAACTAAACGATTTAATGTGTCGCATAATTTTTTTTTTCAATCGAAGTATTTTATATTTTAAAAAAAAAAGACACACCTAATTTCAATTTCTGACTTTGCCGCTGCAGGGCGCTGACGAGGCGCCTGACCTCGTCGCGACGGACGTGGAGCGAGGCGTTGAGCCGGTCGGCGGAGAGGAGCTCGACGGTGGAGAAGCGGCGGAGGTTGATCCAGTGCGGGCCGTAGGGGGCCGTCCCCAAGGTGGTGTAGTTGTAGGCGAAGATCTTCCACCCGATGAGGTCGTCGGGCCGGTTGGCGAAAACGAGGTCGTTTTTGGCGAGGCATTCCTCGGCTAAGGAAGGGGACGAGATGACGACAACGTTGCGGGTGCCTAAGGCGAGGGAGAAAACGGCGCCGTACTTTGTTGAGAGGGCTTGTAGAGTTCTGTGCACCGGTTGATTCAGGAGATGGAGGTGGCCGATGAAAGGAAGGGAAGGCGGGCTCGGCGGGCGGTCTGTGCGGCGTCGTTTCCGTGAAATTAGGAGCTTGGAAGTGATGACGATTGAGAAGATTGTGGCTAGGAAGGAGAGAGCAGTCGCAAATATTGCGTCGTTCATTTTGGTGCTGGCTTTGCGGTTGCAACTTGCATGTGTGGTTTGTGAGCTATGGTGTATGGTGCACATGGTATTTTATATTGGGTTATGAAAGTTTCCAAAAAAAGAACAACTACTCACGTCCTATAATATGATTTTTGTGTTCAACTTGGAAAGAGTAATAAGACAAAATAATTATTGCATGGGGCTGCGGCAAAATAATTGTGTTTACCAATCGATTTGGGTTAATTGCATGGTTGGTCATTGAGATTACAAAAGACGTTCAAATTTGGTCACTCGAAATATTTAAATTCATTGGTGGTACTTCAGTTTATTGAAACCGTTCACGTTTGGTCACCCTCCGTCCAACTCCGTTAACTTTGGCTGATGTGGGAGTCAACTCTCAAAATTGACCGTTAACTTAGTGACGTGATAATTAAGAAATAATAAATAAAATAAAATTTCATCTATTTTAATGTCCAGCTAATTTTTACCATAAAATAAATAAAAAAAATATTATAATTGTTATAATATTGCTACCCGCAATGCTTCACCTCGACCATCCACTCGATCGTCGTGCTCGCATTGCTCGGATTCCGTTCGGGAAACTCCGCCAGCTTCACGCCCCCGAAATTGAAAATCCTATCGTCGGCCAGAAACGCGAAATCGCAAGGATTGGAGTCCAAGATGTCGATGTGGTTCGTAGCCATTAGCAACTTGAAGTCCAGCGTCTTAATCCCTGTGAAATCGAGCTATGGCAGCACCCGATTCCGGAGTAGACACCCGATTGGTTGAAACAGTAGTCCTTCATCGGACCCATAGGCGGAGGGAGAGGGTTTGGGATGTGTCCCAGGACATGTGTTAATTTTGGTAAAAAATTAACACATTCCTATATATATTTATGAAAGAGATAAAATATTCAAATTCATCACATTGATATAGTATAAAAAGTATTTTATCATTACAATGAAGCTCAAGTTTTGTTATTTGATTGATATAAAATTAATTTATACGCTGTAAATGAAATCTTCAATTGAAATAAATCTCTATTTGGTTTCTTTTTTC